GTGCATCTCTCACCTCTTCCTAAATCCTGACGTACTAAGAATGCAAAACTTCAATTGCTCCTACTGATTTTGTATTTTATTTGCCAATCCCCTCCCTCCCCCCCCCGGAAAATCATTTACCCGAAGCACGTGCTAAATGGCAAACCTGCAGGAGTTTGTTCTGGTAGGAATTGTATCACAAAGTTGTTTTCAGGATGGTTTGTTCTGGGATTGCACAGGTAAGTGATGTGAAAGGGCAGAGCACACAGTGCTGTGCCGTGGAGGAGAGCCGAGTTACAGACGCACACACACGGAGAGCAACTCTCACCAGCCCCCTTCCTTTGCCAAATGTTGCTTTAAAATGCATCACCTGCGTGGGCTGAATTGGCTGTTGGGAAGGGGTAAGAGCAAAGCTGTTTGTGCCTGGTTTAGAAAACAGCTCGAAGCAGTTTGTCACTGTTTGGAGTGTTTCCTTCTGTCACTGGGGAGTCAGCGTTCCCTTAAACGAGGGCTCGAAATGTCTTTTCTCAAAACCACGTCTATTAAACTCAGGTCCTTTTGCAATGTGGAGATAATTTCTTGAAAAGTCCTAAAAAGTTGCTGCCCTGCTGTTCACTGCCTGTTCCTGTCACACCTCCCTGGTTGTCCCCGCAGTGCGTGGCTGTCGGGGTACGAGAGCCCCGTGGTGTCCCGGATCAACACGAGGATACAGGACCTCACAGGGCTGGATGTCTCCACAGCAGAGGAGCTGCAGGTAAGTCTGAGGCCGGGGTTGGTGCTGGATGTCAGTCCCCACTTCATTTTGGGTGGCTCAGGTGGCACAAAAGCTCTTTTATTTACTGGGGCGGGGAGGGGGGGAAGAAACAAAGGTGAGTTTGTAGAGCAGCTCTTCAGTGGGAAATGGCTTTTGGTGCTTGAGGGGGACAGGGAGAACTGAAACTCTGTGGATATATAATTCCTTTTTATTTATATAACCAAACCTAAGCTTCACTGCTGCAGGGATGGTAATTCAGCTTGACTGATACTTAAGGAAGGCCAGCAGTGTGCCTGGTGTCCCTGTCATGTGGGAAACACTGGCTGTGGGTGTAAACCGTAATTTAAAAGTTACTTTTATACATCAGCTTGAGGCCTTTGAAGGAGCAGCTGCTGTAAGCAAAGTGTGTGTCCTGGAAAGCAGGACACCCAGACAGGGGGTCTGGAAGCTGCTGTGCCCCTGTCAAGACTCCGGGGGATGAAATGCCCCAGGATCTGGCTGAACATTGAGGTTATTTTTTTTATAAACGGCTGAGGCTTGTCATTCCCTGGGGCTTGGTGTCTGCCACTGATCTTGCCACTGTCAGCTGTAGCTGACAGTCACAATGTTGCTGGATAAAGACTGCTTGACTAGAGCCTGTGCTTCTCCTCTCACTGTAGGTAGCCAACTACGGAGTAGGGGGCCAGTATGAGCCTCACTTTGATTTTGGAAGGGTAAGTCCTGTTCTGTCTTCACCTCTTTCTCCTTCACAAGAGCTGTTGTTTCTCTTTTGCAGGTGGCAAATTATGGAGTGGGAGGACAGTATGAACCCCACTTTGACTTTGCACGGGCAAGTACAGAGCGGGAGGGGAGCAGAGACCTGGGGCAGCCTCTGCCCCTTGGCACAGAGCCTGTTCCTCACTGTCTGTCACATTGTTGAGCTCTTTTCCAACCCCTGTCAGGCCAGGGGACCCTGTGGATCACCAGCTGCACTGCTCAGCCTTGGTGCACTGCTCTGGGTGCTTAGGGCACACTGAGGCTCCTTCCTTCCTTCCCATCCGTCCCCAGACAGATTACTGTCCCTTCAACCCCTGCCCTCCACATCCTAGAGAGATTTTAAGCTGCCTGCTTAATTCAGATTAATGGGTTCACTCCAATTCCACTCTCACCTCCTCCTTCCAAATCAAAGGGTCCATTAATTCCTCTGCCCCAGCCCACGGTGCTGCTGCCTCAGCCACTCTGTGTCATTGGCTCCTCCTGGCAGCCCAGAGGAAGTGCTGATGGAATCTGCTTGCTTTTGTTCACAGAAAGATGAGCCAGATGCTTTTAAGGAATTGGGAACAGGCAACAGAATTGCTACTTGGTTGTTTTATGTAAGTGATACATTCCTACCCCGTGCTAGTGCCAACAATGTGTCCTTCCATATTTTGTACCCCTGAATGATTTGATTCTCCGTTTTTTTTCTCATCCTGGCTTTTACTGAAGTGAATTCTAAATGAAGCAGTCACAAACTCTGGGGGACTGTTGTCTTCTTACCCAGACCCTGTGGTTCCTTCCATGTGCTGTAAAAGGAGGATTTCACTCAAAATTCAAGTCAAAATTACCTGCCTGGCTGTTCATTTTTATATCTGCATCCGTATTTACAGCCTGTTCACTGCCCAAGCACTGCAGTGGGGGGGGACAAGGCTGGGGTTGCACTGGGACACAGCGGGGAGGGTTCAGCCTTTTTAAGGGAGGTGTAAATTAACTTGTTCTATAACCCAGTTCTATTTTACTAAAATACGAGAATGTTTGAGCTCTCACATGTGTTCCCCCACCTGTGCAGATGAGTGACGTGTCAGCAGGGGGAGCCACGGTCTTTCCTGAAGTAGGAGCCAGCGTTTGGCCCAGAAAGGTGAGCAGGGATGTATCCGCTGGAACTGCCCTTCTCCACCTCCTCAAAACACAGCAGGGGCATGAAAGAAGCTTTCAAATGAACCTTCAAAAACAGCCCTGTTCGTGGCAGCACAGAGGTGCTCACGGTTCAGTGCTGGAGCACTGATGGAGATTCCCGACATTCCCTGTGTTACGTTGGGAACTTGGCTGCTTCCCCTGCACAGACTCTGCAAAACATTACAGTGCTTCCAAACACATCCTGAAAACATTCAGATCTTTAAGTTGCTGTAGTTCTGAGGCACCTGTAGGGAATTCTCCTTGGGATGTCGTGTTCCTGTTAGGATTTTCCCTCAGCAGGGTCTCAAATAAGGTTACCTTGGCTGGCCTGCTGCTCCTTTTTAGTAAATAATCTTGCTTTCTAAAACTGGTCAGGACTTCAATGAAACTGGCCTGGGGTTTAAAAAAAATTAAGAGCCAAGTATTACACAGACACAGAGTAAGTCCTAAGGAAGCAAATGTTAGAGTGTGGAAAAGAGCCTCCAGCATAAAAGAATCTGACATACAGATGCACTTACCTTTGCTTCTACCCTTAAGTGAGTTGGTGTTTAAGTGTGTACTGCCCAGAGCAGAATGCTGAGGGTGTCCCCTGCCATTCCCAGGGAACAGCTGTGTTCTGGTACAACCTCTTCCCGAGCGGAGAAGGCGATTACAGCACACGGCACGCGGCCTGCCCGGTGCTAGTGGGGAATAAATGGGGTGAGTACCTGCCTGGGACCCCAGCCTGGGCCTTGGGTGGTGCCTTGCCTTGCTCTTCTTTTTCCTCTGGACTTCGTGGTGGGATAAAAAGCAGCCAGAGATGCAGTTCTTTATAAATAAATCTTATTTAATTTACTTTATCTGCTTCATCTCTGTATGCTATAGATATTCTACATAGCAGCATATTTTATAATATGTATAAAATACATGTAAGACCATACCTCCTTTAAGAGTCTTTTGTAGTTTTGCAGGGAAGTTTTTTTCCCCCTCTTGTATTTATTAGACCAACTTCACATCTGTGCACAGCAGGGAGTTGGAACAAGATGATTTTAATGTCCCTTCCGACCCAAACCCTGTGATTCCACAATTAAAACACTTCTGAGAAATTAAGATAATTGTGTGCTTAACCAACAGCGTATTTAGCTTCAGTTAAGAGCTACCCACGTGCAGTGATCCAATCCCTTTGTGTCTTTGCAGTATCCAACAAATGGCTCCACGAGCGGGGGCAGGAATTCCGAAGGCCGTGCACTTTATCGGAGCTGGAATGATGCGGAGCCGTCGGTGTCTCCTGTGTATCAGTCCGTGTAAAATGCACATCTCCAACAGTTTACAACTGACTAACACTCCACTCCAGGTTCAGTTCCCCCCACCCTCAGCTGTGGACAGGACAAACGTGCTTTTAGTTCCCTTCCAGTACCCACCCACCCCCCCCCGAGGTTTTATGAACAGAAAATATTGAGGTTTATGAGTGTTACTGGGAAAAAAAAAAAACAAAAAAAGGACAAAATACAGATGAGGGCCACAACTAACTGTGGTGTTGTGTGTGGTGTTCCTGTCACCATCATCCCTCTGAGCAGTGTGGGAAAACAGGGGTGATGTCATGGGAGGGCTCCCCTCTTAAGGAGTGCTGAGTTAAACCCATTCCAGTTCCTTGATTCCCAGACATTCAGCTCCTTGCTTTCCCAGAGTGCCTGACCACTGCTGCTGAGAACTGCAGGCATCCTTTGTGTTTCTCTGGAAAACAGGTTATTACCATGTTTTAACCAGTTTTCCCACTTCCACAAAAGCCCCAATTTTTTAAATTGTCTTCTTTCTTGGCCCCTGTGGGGAATGTGGCTCCTGACCTTGGCAATGTGAGCCAGCAGTTCCACAGGCACAGCCGGGACGCTTCCCCAGTGTTGTGCCTGTGTCAGAGCAGCCTGACAACACCCACAGCCCACCTTTCCCCACCTCTGGAATGTTTGTCCACGTGAACAAATGCTGCTTTTGTTCTGTCCCAGCAGCCAGCTCTTCCATCTGCTCCTCGGGCAGGCGAGGGGTGGGGGTGTTCCCATCTTCATTAATCAAAATAGCCGTGCCTTAGGACGCTGGAATTTCAAACTGGTGAAGAGACTTCAGGTGCTGAGGTGACACAAGAGTCCTCACAGAACGCTCTCCACCCTCGTCCTCCTCACAGCTCTCGAGGTTCCCTGAGAAACTGTCACCCTATTTATAGTCCTGAACCTTTTTTAGATGCAGGCTCACTTTTGTGAACCCTTTCCCTTCCACAGCAGGATTTTTATAGCAAAATAACCAACTCCTCCATTAGCATGAGGACAAAAAAATCAAAGGGAGCTGCACTTGACCTAAACAGTCCAATTTTCTGGATGATTATGGTTTTTTACTGGTTAGGGGTCAAGCCTGAAGTCTTCACCAAGGAAAAAAAATTCCAATTTTGGTTAATTGGGTTTTCTGCCTCAATAAAATCTTGGAAATTGAGCCGAAACGTAGACAAAACCAATTTTTAATGTGCTAGAAATACCTCTGGAATACTGGGAATGCAGTTTAAGGTACTATAGTCGGAGGATCAGAAGACACTTTAAGGTCTTTGCTGGAAAATATATTGTTAAATTCCTACTGAGCCTGGTAGCAATGGGACCCACAGAACTGCTCATCCTTAGCCCTGCTCCTCCCTGCATTTTTAGCCTGTGCTTTTGGCAGATGGGAAGCAAAGTCCATCCAACACCAAATAAAAAAGTCTCACATCTGTACTGCTCCTTTTTTCGAAGCAGCTGCTAACCCAAGAGCAGCAGCTGATCTAAAGGAATCCACCCCAGAACTGGGTGAGCAGAGAGGATCTTTGAGCACTAAATTGTAATAATTAGAAAAAACCCAACATAATATTTCCGTCTACCTGAGTTTTTTTTTTCCCTTTTTCATCCATCTCCATTCCTACCCAGGATCTTTTTTTTTTTTTTTTTTTCTCTTTCCCATCTTTTTTTAGTTTCTCAAGCTCCATAAGCTCCACAGCTGCAGGTAACTCCTGCCACTTCCCTGCAAGTAAAAAAAGGATACAGTGATCAGTGTGGTGTTGGGGATCTTGCCTTTGGGGTATCCATAAATGCTTGTGGGGATCCAATCCCACACAGTGATCAAGCACGAAAGGAAAGCCCTGTACTGGCACCATGGACAGAGGTGGCAAACAGCATTAGGGTTTGCTATTCCCATCTCCCTTCAACCAACACCCAAGGATAAACCACAGGTTGGGGAATTCTGCTCAACAGCTCCTTCCCTCACCCCAATAGCAGCGAGTACTTGCAGCGATAAACAGCATTTTAAGGAAGGTCTCTCAGAGGCACTGCCTGGGGGGTGAAAATGGTTTAGTGCACGACTTTTTAAAGCAGTGAACTACTCCAAGACAATCCTTCAGGAAAGAAAATCAATTTGTCTTTTGACAGTGGAAAATTTCACTTGAGTAAAAAAAAAATAAAAGAAAAAATCCCCCCAAATTAAACCTCTAGTCTGCTGAGGCACATCAGGAACGTCCCAGATTATGACAGAAGGGTCATTTGGTATTTTTAAACTGCAGACAATCCCCATTTCTTCTCCCTCCACTGCTGTAGTGTCCATGCATCCAATGCTGACTGTAAGGGATTCCACTGGTGCTGCTGCTTTCTGCCTTACCCCCATCATTTCTCCAAGGGCTTTTGGATCCCGAGCGTGGCTCCTGTGTGAATCTAGTTTTGTATTAAAGATGATTGAAAACTGTTTGGCTCACAGTGACTGACAACTGAGAAACTGC